CACTTGGAAAAATTTACTATAAGGAACCTTAATAATTTACGAAAATGGTAGAAAACTTCCCTAAAAATTTACAAGAAAATGTCAGACATTTTCAGAAAAATCTCATTTTCTCTTGCATGAAATATTACTCGTTTTTCATTGAAGAGGAAAGCGTATGTTTCTGGGTTGCTTATAAATAGAATGACTGTCATAAGTTGAAGGCAAAAGGTAACACAAGAAGCGTTGTTGGTGGTTAGCCACCTGGTGGTTTATTACGAAGATGAGTTCGACTACAAAGAAGAACACTGTGGGGGCCAGTCTTGGTTATGGTACTACTTATAATAGCTCACAGAAGTCTTCAAAGGGCTCAACTTTAACAGAAACTAAGGTCATCGGAGACAGCCTTGGTTATGGTTCTACATATAATTCACAGAGTTCTTCAAAGAATTCAACTTCAAAGGGACCTAACAAGGTTATCGGAGACAGTCTTGGTTATGGTTCTTGAAATGACTGCCGGTAATCAAATTAAAATATTTTACTTTTTATTTTTACAATTATTTTACATAGCTTTTTTTGGCTAATACTCACTCCACCCCTGTATATAATTTAAGATTTTTGGGGTAGAGCCAGTTCTTGCACTTCTTACGTGTCTAAAATTTTAATTCACCTGTTTTATTTTTATCTTCATTGATTATGTGCCTATGGGGTTCAACAAAAAAGACTTTACGTCTATATGTACTAATGGTCTCATCTCTTGTTTTCAAACATTGTCTTTCATATCTCTCTCTTTCTCACCCTTTGCATAAATAATTAGTATACTTGGAAAAGAAATTATATTTCCTACATATTTATTACTTTTATCTAATTTTAGCTAAATTTTTTATCTACATAATTCGGTTATTTGTATATCATATATAGCGAAGCAGGGAGTATATGTATGTATTAATTCTTAGTTGTTATTTACATGCAGGTTGATATGGAAGAGAGGCCTACAATATGTGTGTGTGTGTGCTGGACCCGCAAGGATAGTTTATTGTATGGCAGATTTGATCATGTCTTATATTTAATTGTTGAAATTATATATTCATGTCTTATTTTTGTATGTTACAATAATGTAAGTAGTAATCTCTAGAATATTCCATTGACAGCTTCGCAGTTATATGGTTTGTTTGTCCATATATCACTACAAAAAAATTTACTTTCAATGGCCACAAAAAGTCGCCGCTGAAAAGTCGTTACCGTAGCGACTATGGTTGAAAACTTTTACCGGTGACTAAAAAAGTCGCCGCTGAAAGACACTTTTAGCGGTAACTTTTAGAAGTTTTAGTAATGACATTTGTCACCTCTGAAAGCTTGTTTCGGTGGCAACCTAGCTTATTATCACTGCTAAAAGAACTTTTAGCGGCGACAAATTGTCATTGACTTTTAGTAGTGACTTTTTTGTCATTGCTAAAAGTGATGCCTAAGAAAAAATTGACTTTATTGACGCCACATCATCACCATCAATGCCATATCATCACTAGCCACCTCCACCTCATTGCTGTCGATCGCCACATCATCACCGACCGGATGCCACATCACCACTAGCCACTTCCATGTCATCGTTGGCCACCTCCATGTCTTGCCGTTAAACTGGATTGAATTTATTTATTATTATTGTAAAATAAAATATATATTATTAGATTATACTTTCAGCGGCGACATTAGATAGTCACTAAAATATATATTATTAGATTATACTTTCAGCGGTGACATTAGATAGTCACCGCTGAAAGTCTACTTTTAACAACGACACTTCAGGCAAAAAAAAAAAAAAAGAAGAAGAAGAGATTTTAAAATGTGATGAAATGATAATAATGGTCCTCTATATTTAAGTATCATTATGCTACTAACAATTTTAAATTCTAAATTAACAAAATTTTCTGTCTCCATGATATACACACTTGTAATGAATATTAACTAGAACTTGTTCACAATATAACTTTAAAAATTGACAAGTTTAATTACACTATTTATAAGTTTGACTTCTAAATTAACTTTGTTTTTTGGATACACAGCTGCAATAATTATTGGCTAAAACTTGATCATGAATTAATGATACAACCTTAAAAATTAATAAGTGCCATTAATAAGTTTGAATTCTAAATTAACAACTTTCCTTTTCTTCCTAACTTACACATTCCTAGTAAAACATTTCTAACAAATGTATAGAAAAGAACTTTAGTACAAGATAGCCTTAAAAATTACCAAGTTCCATTATGTAGTTAACACTTCTGGTTCGTAATAATTCACAAGTTTGCAATTGTTTTGTAATGAAGGGGCATTGAAGTAATTTTGCCAACATTTTAAATCATTCTTTATGCCATGTGACCTAATTAGAAATTTTGAAATATAGTGAACCAAATGGGAACTTTGATTATTCAAATAGGCTTTGCAAGGGGTTTTCCTTGTTCCTTAATTCATTCTAATAGTATCAATCAATTATATTCTTGAAAACTTGTAATACCCGATTCGCTTAAAATGGGTATGGTATGATATTATAAGATCCGAATATATTCAATTAATAATAAGATCTGAATAATATTTTGATTGGGATTTGGGTATATTGAATTAAATGAGGAGTATCATTATTAAATGAGATTTTAATGGAGGCTCAAATGAAGAAATTAATAATTAATTTTGAATTTTAATAATATCTTAATTGGGATTTGAATATATTAAATTAAATGAGAAGTATCATAAAATAACATGTCAATTGGGGTTTAAATGGAGAGATAAATAATTAATTTTAAATTTTCATATGTTTCCCCTAAATTTCACATCTTTAATTCAAATACAATCTAAAAGAATAAAAAACACACACTTCTATAAAAAATAAATCTTGAGCTATCTTAAATAATACAATTTATTAGAATTTAAAATTAATTAAATATTTTAGTCCGTGCATCACACGGGGAGAAATTTCTAGTTATTTGTAAAAGATTGGAAAGTGGAATCTTTTCCTTTTAATTTCTTAATTCCTAATTCAAAGTTGATGTTCTTGGCTAGGGTGCTTTCTTAAACAATACTAGGGTCCCTTCAATACAATTTAAAAGAAACTGGGACGCATTTTCAGAAAACTTTCACCTGCTATTCCATGAAATCTTTGTGTACTTCTCATTACAGCAGGGATCCCACGCTAGTTTGCGTATAGATACGCCCTAAGCTTCAAAGCAAAAACGCAAATAGAAGATTATTGTAGATCAAAGAGTAAATATATTAGTGTTGTTTGTGGCTAGTTGGTGGCTTTAGTAGGACGAGGTGCTTCAAATGCTTTAACTTGGAATGGAATTAGTACTGTTGGCAGGGGTGCCTTGAAAAAAAAAAAAAAAGAGAGAGATAGGTGACTTTGAGGGGGAAAAAACATGAGGAGTAATGTGATAAAATGCCTAAATCCGCGAATTCTAAGTTAGGCCCATGAATCAATTAAAGATTTGTAAAATTTATCAACATAATTTGAAATTTTCCTAATATAAGAGGGCTTTGTACAGTGTAGATTGTTTTCTTAGTTTTAATTCTTATAAAGTAGGCATTTTTTAAGAAAAAATTGAGATAAATTCCTCATTACAAATTTAATTGGCAAATAGTCTCTAAAATGATTGATTGCACAAAAAAAGATTAGTTGCACGTAAAGAAAAATAAGTTACATAAAGAGGAGATGATTTGCACAAAACTATTTGGATACAAGGGATCAGTTTATACATAAAGAAGATAACTTGCACATAAGAGAATTTTATTTGCACAAAAAGAAACTGAGTTGAACATCACGCCAAGAAAGATTATTGAACGCAAGGGAACATACATTGCACATAATAGAAGTTAAGTTGTGCAAAGTCTTCAAGTCTTATTTGTTAATTAAAATTTCAATAACAGATTTATTTTAATATATGTCATTTTGTGGTTCTTTTTCTTTTTCCTGAAAAAAGAGGGCATGCTTCGCAGATCATGCCACTCAATAAAAGAGCTAATACCAAAAACATATCTTTTGTAATATTTTGAATTTTGAAGCTAGCGTCAACAAGATGCTTAGGCGGCTTAAAAAATAATTTCATTAAAAGTCTATTTTCAAGGTAAGAAATTCAGAAAAATTAAGAAAGAAATATTTGTTAAAAAGATATAAAGACTCAAAATAATTAAGAAAAATTATAGCTAATTATTTTGGGAAATAAAATATTTACGGAAGAGTTTATTTCCTAAAAGAGGTAGATATAATTTGAAAGCTAATTTCATAAATTAAAGCTTATTTTTTTGGAGAAATTCAAGAAAAATAGTTAGAGATTGTTTTTCAGGAAATTTTCCAAAAATTATTTTATTGATTAAATAAGCTAAATGTGAAAGACATATTTTATAAAGGTTATGTACATCTAGTATTCTAAAATATTTTGTGATACATCCAGTACCCAAAATATTTTTTTAAGTGTGTCTATTATCCAGTATCTTGAAGTATTTTTTTGTGTATCCAACACCTTAAAATATTTTTTTTAGGTGCATCCAGCATTTTAAAATATTTTGTAGTACATCCAGTATCCTGAAATATTTTCTAGTGTATCCAGCATCAAAGTAAAGAAAAATTTTTTTAAGATGCTAGATACACCTAGAAAATATTCTAAGATATTAGATATACCATAAAATATTTTAGAGTATTAGGTGTCCTTAAACAAATGTTTCAAGATGCCGATGTGCTATAACGTATTAAAAATAATAAAATTTGCAGAAGGGTAGATCTGGGATTAAAATGTTAAGAGGAGGGCAAATACTGTCTTTTGGTTTGTGCCAAAAATCACCCGTGTTCTCTGCCGCGGCGGTGCCTCCGCTTCATCCTCTCCGCACAACGCATTGTCAATCCCTTTCCCATCTTCATCTCTTCTCTACTTTAGCTTGAACTACACGAATTACTCCCCTTCTTGGACACGAATCGTGTCGAAGAAGCTTGAGGGAGTCTATATTAGAGGGAAGGTGGGACAGGGAGTGGGAAATACAGAGCCAGAGAAAGAGAAGAGGGAGCGAGACGAGAGGAATCAGAGATCGGGGAGGAGATAAGCCACAGGCAAATCGGTCTTTGAACCAAGGTGATCATCCTGATTCTTCCTCTAACCTCTATTTCTTCGATTGGGTACTGGTTTAAGGGGAAGAGGCGATTGAAACTAAAGCAAAACAATAGGAAAGTTCCGTTCTTTTAGAGGCATGAGGTGCTATTTGAAAATTATAAAAGAGATGGAATGTTCTCGTATTGATGGAATTTGAGTAGTCTAAGTGCATTACCTGAAATATAAATGTTGTTAGCATAAAGTATATGTCGTTGGTGCTGTTCAGATCATGTGAAGTTATACGAGAATGTTGAAAATCTGGAAGTTAGAAACTGAATAAAAGCTGACTGTGTTGATAAAGTTTACGAGCTAAAATTATACTCCTCTGCCTTTTGTAGTGTAATTTACACTGCAAAAAGGTCTTATATCTAGGACAGACTAAATGAGTAATAAATTGGAGAGTTAAGCAAGTACAGTGTTCAGAGTGTTCTATGGTATGTTTGAGAATAGTAAAGTTTGATTTATGAAAATTCTCATCTTCTGTTTCGGCCAATGTACTTGGATGGGAAAGAATTGAGTTTTGTTGAATTTGAACTTTTAATGTGCTTAGAAGAGGATTTTATAAAGCTGAAAATCTAATTGAAGTTTGCTGTTTGGTATTTATAAATATTAAGTTGTTGATTAGGATGTTAAGCAAAAGCTTAAGCTAACGTTTAAATTGCTGGAAAAATTTCCAGATTTTATAATCTTTCTGTTTGAAATGTTTTGAGGGTAAAAGCTGATTATAGTTGAGGAATGCTGTTTGGATGCCAAGAAAGTGTGTTTTCCTTTGATTAAAATTTTCCATCTCCATGTATACAAGGAACGAAGGGACTAACATACACAAGACTGTCAATGAATCCTTCAAGATTTTTCCAATTTTTCTTTTTTGATTTAGGTTTTTAACGGAAAATGTTTCATAATAAACGAATCAAAAACGGCTTACTCTTGGGGGAAAAGAAAATAATTCATTATTTATGATCTAGACATCATTGTGCAAATGTAAGTGCTGTGTGTATTCTTCTCCATCTATTTTAATTTTCTTTTAATTTTGAATCTACCATTGTGGATTGCTTTAGTTTCTTTTCTTCTTTTTCAATACTTGCTTGGTAACCAGCATTGCAAGTCCCATTGAAGAGAATTTCTAATGTTAAATACTCAAAATTATGATCTTGCTGATCTACAGCCGTAATTGATCACGGTTAAGAAATGAGCCTTCGATCCTATCTAATTTTAAATCTAGATTTATATCACAATCGACATGTGACACTGCATAAGAGAATTAACATTCTGTTTTTTGTTTAATATATCTTATACACTTCAGTTTTGCTCCGAGCTTGTTGGGACTAGGATGCTTATGTTAAAGATTTGTGTGTCACTTCTTTTGCTTTTCATCCCCGCTCTCATGTTTTCTGTTTCTTCTTCTTCCTTTTTTTTTTTTTTTTTTTAATGCGAATAGGGCGTAGGCTGTTGAATGATCAAATATGGCAGAACTGAGCTTGGGTATTCTTATTGATATTGTTGATGAGGAGTGGATGAGATATACACTCCCTGATAATGGTATGTTCTTACGCTGTTTTATTGGGATATAGACTCCTGTGGTTACAAACATAACGAAGAATGTCTCTGTTATAGTCATTTGAGCTTGATGTAAAAGCGCCTTAACCTCTTGTTCTTACAGATCTTCCGCTGCCTCCAACACTGATAGTTCGGACAGATGATACTGAGGACTCAAGTATGTTATTCCAAATCTTAATTGAGTCATGTTCTTTATTATTCATATAAGAGTTTCTGGATAAACTCTTTCTTCACTTCCATAAAAATGTAAAAGCTTAAATTTAACGTGATTGTTAGGTAACTTCATGTTTGTTAGTCTATAAAATCTTGTGACGCAAGATAAGAGGGGAAAATAAAAGAAGAAAGAGTGAAATTCTCTGTTGCTAAAGATGTCCAGATTGTTAAAGCATATCTTTGGACACCTGTGCGGGAAACGAATGACTGAGATTATAATAATTGCGCGCCTTTTATTGGAGATTTGTATCCGGTACTTGCACATTGCTTTGCTGTTAATCAGATCAGGAGACCCAGCAAGTCAATGCGGATGCTTGGCATGATCTTGCCATGGGCCCAGAATAGAAACCTTATTTGTCAACGAGGGTCGTCCCTCGTAATAAGTGGATGTTGTTTCTGTACTTTTGTGTCACATCATCCATTTTGTACTTCTGTCACGTCTAATGTTGAATTCCTAGTTTTTGTTTTGTCATCTACATTGTGTAATTAGAGAAGGAATGTGAATGAGATATCGACTTAATTAGATCGCCTCCTGAGCTATCTCATTTATTTTATGTCATCTAAGGTGCATATAATGCATCCTACTAGCCCTCATAACAGATTTATATCCATGCAATTAGTTCTGTAGTTGAAAAGTGGCATATTGATTAATGGTCAATCCGGTCATAAGATGTTAAATTAGGGCCCTCAAATCCTAGTTGCAGCTAACACGCTGGCTCTGTAAATCTGAGTCCATATCAAGGAAGTCAATCAAAATGATTCTTTGTTTGACAGTAACATTCTACTTTGGCTCATTTCCAACTTGGCTGGATCTAGAATATTTTAGCTAGCACAACTTTGCATCCTAAATACAGGTTTCACGCATAACGTGCATTGCTTTTTATTTTCTTTAGTCCTGCCCGTTAATCCTGTTATAACGTGCGTTACTTTTTATTTTCTTTGGTCCTGTTCGCTAATCCAACAGGTATCCCATGGCTACTCAAATATAGTTTTTAAGCATTAATATATGAACACATTTTACTTTGCAATTTGAGCTGTGCAGTAGTTCATGACTTCTGGCCTGAATAATTCTAAGCAACTGCTGAAAATGGCAACCCTGGAATACTGAAACCTTTCTGCTTGCACAACATTAATGCGTAGTAACATTACAGTATAAATTTTTTTTTTTTTCTTGTGGTGGAGGGGGATAATGCGTGAGATGGTTGTATTTATAATGAATCAAAATTGAAGAGAACACATTACAAAAGGGTAAAAATAAAGAACCAACTATTCAGCGTTCTCATGTGCCTCTTCGTAATGCATCAGGCAATATATTGGCATTGCTGCTGACGAAATTTCCAACTAAGGGGGAATATGAAGCTTCCTAGGAGAAATTTATGCACTCTAGAAGCTTGTTGCTGGCCACTTTAATAGATTGCCTTCAATGGAATGCTTTATTTACAGACAGAAATAACTTAAACCACACCATCATCTCCCATGCGCAAATATCAAAAGCACAGTAAGAATGCCAGTCATGTGAGGAAGTCCTTCAAAGATGCTACAGTTGGTGGCATGGCAGTTGGGATACTGCCCTCCTTAGACCCTGCTACCTGTCGAAGGGCATCTGGTGGTACTGAATTGCTCGTGGATGCATTCTGGTTCAAAGCATTCAATGGCATTGCCGTAGCTGCAGGAGGTGTTTGTGTCAATTCAGACTGCTTCAAAGCATTCATTGGCACTACTGTAGTTTCCTGCTTCAAAGCATTTATTGGCCCTGTAGCAGTTGTAAAAGTTATGAGTGTAGATCCAGACTGCTTTAAAGCGCTCATTGGCTCTCCTGTTGTTGGAGGTGTTGGTGGCAGTCCACATTGCTCCATAGCAGTTGCTGGTTCTGTTTTGATTGTCGGAAGTGTTGGTGCTGATTGAAAGCGTCGGTGGCAGTCCACATTGATCCAGACTGCTTTAAAGCGCTCTTGCTTGCTCATTAACACTTATTAAGGTTAGTTAAGAAAGGGTGAAATTCAGAAAAATCTAAGTAGCAAACAATTACCCACAAGTATGCAATACTAATGCTTGGTGGATAACATGCTTGGTTATATGCTTTCATGTTTATGCTTATAAAATGACATGCTTTAATGCTCAATGTTACATTCACACATGGCCATGGAATATATAAGAAATAGAGCAACATTCAATCTTTCATAATCTAAATCATCATCAAGCAACATTAACACACAAACATACATATCAGTCACACAATAAAGTTAAATTCACTACCTTTTGTATTTGAGCTTTTCTTTAGCTTTCTTTGTTTCCTTTGCTTCTAACCATTAAAGTTGCTTGTTCAACCTTTTTCATTCATCTTCCTTGATGTTTTATGGCGCTAAATACATCAACATATCATTTCCGTTTATTTATTAGAGTCATGATAACCAACAACATCAACACTTTATTTTCTTTGAACCAAATTAACTTCTAAATTTTGAGCTTGATTTCCAATATTTCTAAAATTAATTCCACATGCTATTCCCAACATAATTTTGTATGTAGAATACATTTTCAAGTTTTAAATTAAATAAAATCCAACTCCTCCATAATCAAATTAATCTGGCTGAAAAATAGGGTCTTATGGCTCAAAATTCTATTTTTAATTTCAATACTTTCAAATTTGTTTTATTACCTTTACTCCATACAATTTTTCATTTTAAATACATTGGAAGTATCAAAATCATCAAAATCTAATCCTAGCCCCAAGAACCAACTCTAGCTGAAATATATCCCTCGGTATACAACTATAAAATCTTTCGCAAATCATCTCAAAACCACTTAATTCTCATTTTTTTTAAACCTTTAAACATGATCCTAGCATCAATAATTATTTTTCATGGTTTAAACACAATTGAACAGCATCTTAACCTAGGGTTTCAAGCTTCCAAAATCCATCAAAACCATGGCTAAGCTCAACAAGACAACTAGCAAGATAAACTACATTAAAAACCATAAACATACCTTATCTTGGAGCTTGATTTTACATGGTTTCCTTTGCTCTTTCTCTTGCTCAAATCCTAGCCTTGATCTTGTGTGTGTGACTTGATCTTATCTATTCATTTGATCCATTTTTCGTGTATCCCTTATCCTCTTGCCTTCCATCTTGATTTTGCCACATGAGCCCATTAGGTGTCCCCTTCGTTCAATGCCATAAGCCACCTCACATGTGCCCACTTATTACACATGTGTGGTTTATTACATAATTATATTCTTACAAACTTAACCTTTAACAAAATTTATTACTCCGTCCATGTGCCTTAATCAAATTTATATTAAATATGAAGAAAATAGGGAGAAATTCTTCCTCCCTCATACCCTTGACTGTTCCTCCACCGATTTTACTATTTTATATCGTATCGGGTACTTTTTTGAGTCTTGACTTATCCGATAACCCTGGGACATGTTCTGACACTTGTTTCATCACAACTAACTTCACATGGCATTATATAACATGTTTAAAGAGCAAGTGATGCTCTTTCGTTATTTTTCTATTAAAATATTTAATAATATTTATTTCGGGGGAAATTTGACCAAATTCTTTCTACCAATTTATAACTCTGAGAATCTTTCTCTGAGTACCAATACTATCACTTCATCATGAAAAAATTTTTAATTTTTTTAAAGTCAAAATTCAATCTCTAAATAATTTATTTTGATTTTTTCTAGATAGTATATAAATAGGTTTTAAATTCTATTAAAGCCAACCTTTTTGCTTTCTGGGAAAAGAATTATTTTTAAAACCTATGATAATTCCTCAAGTATTATTTCTCATTTTTTCCAATTATCTGAGGCCTCCTCTATTTTAAATAATTCAATTTTGACTAATCTTCATAATTGGCCAAAACCCTGGGAATTTCATCAGTCTGGTCCAAGGGTATTTTTATCATTTTTAACCTCATACGAACCTTAAAACCTTATTTTCTATTTTTTTAGAATTTTTCTAGAATTTTTGGGCATACTTTCTATCACTGCTCTTTTTAATCTGAAACTTTTCAAATTTACGATCAGGTCCTTGCTAGGGTTTAGTCTCAAGAATCCTCTCATTGAGGTTCCTAGCATAACCTTTAGCCCTTAATTATCTCAGCTAATCATACTGGATCCCTTGACGTTTCACTAGAGTCTCTATCTTCCTATTTTCTCAATCTACAAAACTTTCACTTTACAATTTAGTCCCTAGAAATCCCTCTATTCCTCTAGGAAACTTCTGCGACTCATGCCACAAGAGGCTTGGTAGACTGCCTATTTTAGCCTAATTCTTGCACTCTTAGGCTCAAAATCTAGGATGTTATAGAAATTAGGAAAGGGAATTTGACGATTAGCTTTTGATCTTTGAAAAAAAAAATCATACTGGATCCCTTGACGCTTCACTAGAGTCTCTATCTTCCTATTTTCTCAATCTACAAAACTTTCACTTTACAATTTAGTCCCTAGAAATCCCTCTATTCCTCTAGGAAACTTCTGCGGCTCATGCCACAAGAGGCTTGGTAGACTGCCTATTTTAGCCTAATTCTTGCACTCTTAGGCTCAAAATCTAGGATGTTATAGAAATTAGGAAAGGGAATTTGACGATTAGCTTTTGATCTTTGAAAAAAAAAATCATACTGGATCCCTTGACGCTTCACTAGAGTCTCTATCTTCCTATTTTCTCAATCTACAAAACTTTCACTTTACAATTTAGTCCCTAGAAATCCCTCTATTCCTCTAGGAAACTTCTGCGACTCATGCCACAAGAGGCTTGGTAGACTGCCTATTTTAGCCTAATTCTTGCACTCTTAGGCTCAAAATCTAGGATGTTATAGAAATTAGGAAAGGGAATTTGACGATTAGCTTTTGATCTTTGAAAAAAAAAATGTTAGAATTAAAAGTGATTTGATGGGAAGAGAGATCAAAAGAATAATGAGTTAAACTTCATCACTCTCAGAATAAGTTCTTCACAATTTGAAAGTTATTCTTTGCCCAAACGATTTTAGTTATATACAGCATTTAAGTAAAACATTTTCACTTTATAGGATTTGGATGAGTTTTTTACTCTTTATAGCATATAGGTAAATTTGCCCCCATATTTCCTTCTAATTTTTATCACATTTTTTTGCACATAAATTTGAAGTAGTAGTTCGTGCTCAATCCAAATTTAGGGTAGGGCGCAATTGATCTAATTCCTTCCAGGTACAAATCTATTGACAAACACTCAGGTGCTTACATACGCACTTTCTGGTCTAAAAAAGAATCACTGAAAAAGTTTTTTTTAGGGGTGACAAAAAAGTCATTGATGAAAGTATGCCCTTTAACATCAATAAAAAAATCTTTAAAGGGCATACATTTATCAACGCCTTCCTAGATTTGTCATTGAAGATCTCACATTTAATGATGACTTTTTTTGTCACCGAATGTCTTTAAATGGCATACAGTTAGTGGTGACTTTCTAGAGTTGCTGATAAAATTGTCAAATGCATACTTTCAATAGAGCCATCGCTAAAGGGCATACAATTTCAGCAATGACTCGTAGTGTTGTTGCTGAAAGTCTTCGAGGGTCTACATTTAGTCATTAACTTTTAGCAGCAACTTTTTATAGTCGTTGTTGAAGAGTTGCTATTGAAAATATAATTTA